CTCTCTTCTTACGCATTAGAACGCTTTATGACTACATAAAACATGCACCAATGCTCCAACCACTAAATCGTCCAAAATTCATCCAAAATTGGCTTCGCTTTCGCTTGTTGGTGTGTATTCTCAGTAATATTTTTGATCAATTCATAAAGCATGTTCGACAAAGCTTTAAATTATAATTTAAGGTGGTCAAACATACTTTTTATCCACTAGCCACTAATTATCCACATAATCCTTAGGATTCACAGCTTTACAAGCACTTACAAGCACAAATTTGAACTAAAATAAGCATACCTCATGTCTCGATTTCAACTTCTCTGAAACATTCATGACGGTTGCAATGTTGGAAAGGCTAAATGGATGTTGACCCTCGTTAAAACGGACTGAAAACATAGTGGCACTCAAACCACTACCGTAGGAGAACAAGATCGCCCTATGCCCAGCCTAAAGAAGGGGGAAAGGGTAAAAGGGAAACAATACAATTTGGGACGTTTAGTAAGTGCAAACAGTCACCAGCAGATGCGAAAACCGAAAACATGGGGTCAATAACTTTACCAGTGTGCTATTTTTATTGTGAATCAGAGATGCAAATGCAGCATAGATTGATGCGGTGTACATGTTGCCGACTTGCTTTGGAATTAAAGTCGATGGCTGCACCTTTGTTTCGTAAAAGGGCTTTGCAACTTGCTGAGATGCCTGTAGATCCAAAAAATCAGCTCAGAGATGTTCATATATTAGCATATTGCACTTCCAGATATAAATTCTCGAGAAAATTTTGTTGTGTCACTTGTCTTCCACATAATAACCAACAAACTACCATAGAATTCAAAGAACAAAGAAAAATGAATGTCAGAGTTATGCAAACCTTTTCAAGATCACGACTCTGGTAGCTTTCATGGCTAGTTAAAGACGAAAATGGTGCTAGTTTTTCTTTAGCGGCCTCATCAATGTAGCTGCAAATACATGCAGAAATGAATACATGGTGGAACCTCATTAAAAATATTAGTGCTTCTCGAATAATGAAGAAAATATCCACCTGGCGTTCTTTACGAAATCATTGAATACCAATCGAGCAAAGCTCTTCTGTACAAGCTGCAGGTTATCAGGAAATATGTCAACGTTAACTTCTATGAATGGATCAATCTTTCATAAAATAAATAGAATATTTGCAAATGGCTCTTTTGCTAAATCTCTACTCACTAATTACCTTATTATATGGAGAATGAAAGACAAAGTATTCGGCATCAGCAACTGAAAACGGATTGCCCTCCAATTTCTCGTACCTATATACGCAAAATGTTTACACATCTGGAACATAGAATTACAAGAAGGTTGAAATTTAAATAGAATAACACTTTGTCTCAGCAGAAGCTTACTTGTTACAGAAGGTTTTATAGCAAGAATCAAGTGCCATGAGATAGCAAGTCTGAGAAAGCTTTCCATCGACAACCTATAAACAAACACAGTCTTAACCATATCAGAACTGAACAGAGTATAATGGAGCAAATTTGAAGTAGCAG